GTGGGGAGAAAGGAACCCTTCTCCATTGTTGGTGGGAGTGCAGACTGTTGCAACCACTGTGGAAATCAGTATGGAGATACCTCAAAGAACTAGGGCTAGAGGTCCCACTTGACCCAACTATTTCCCTGCTGGGTATCTTCCCAAAAGAGTTAAAAGAATCAGTAAAGAAAAGTAAAGAAAACAGAAATGCTACATTAAGAACTAAATAAAAGAGACTAAGTTGAAATGTAATTCATGATTTTACAGTATTCATTCTGGTTATATTTAATTTAATGTAACTCAAAAATTTTACATACAAAGGTGAGAGGTGCTATAAATTGTGTCACATATTCTACCAAAATATGATTAATGTATTTTGAAAATATTCTGTTTACCAGGTACAGATTACATAGGTTAACTCATATGAGCCTCACAACAATCTTGTGAGCTAGTTACTTGTTTTACAGACAAGGAAACCGAAGTACAAGGAGGATTTTTTTTTAGGTAGCTGGATGGGGCAGTTTTCTAAGCCAATGTGGTTCTAGATCTTGTCCATAAGCACCACACTGGGCTATTTAACTAATGGCAGGTGATTAACAATAACAAAAATACTATCAATTGATTAGACACTATCACAACTGACTAAACTGAGACTATTTATATTCTAATATTCAACTAAGGTTGATGTATTTACTGAAATTAAATAAATCTGTTCCTAATTAACATATGGGACTCAAAAAAAAAATCATTCCACAGCAATATATGTGCACCCAGGTCTATAGCGGCACAGTTTGTAATAGCTAAAGCTTGGAAACAGTGTCCATCAACTGGAAACTGGGTAAAGAAGATGTGGGTTCTTTATAAAATAGAGTACTACTCAGCCATAAAAAATGAGAAACTAGAGACATTTATAGCTAAATGGATGCATATTGAGGCGATACTCTTAAGTGAAATAAATAGGACACAGGTGTAAATACCAAATAGTTTCTCTAGTGTGAGAAAATGAAAGTGTAAATAAGGATGAAAATGCATAATTGATAATTTGAAACAGGAAGAAAAGGTCTAAAGGTGTAGGGGTTGCGGTAGGGGAATGGGAAAGGAAAAAAGAGAAAGGAAAAATTATGAGAAAAGAAAAAAATGAAAATGAAGTCTATGTAAATAGGGAAGGGTGGAGCAGGTGAAGGACGCACAGGTAATGGGGAAAAAATAAGAACCAAGATACATCATGTACAGGTACAAGCACCCAATGATAAATGTAAACATATTGTATACCTAAAATGTACCAATAAAAGAATTTAAGGAGAAAAAAAAGAATGCCTATTGTCTCTATTCATTCCCATGGTGAGTACATTCATTCATAACTTCACTGAAGCAGTATTAATGTGTTGGATTCAGTGTGCTACCAGTGTTTGTTGGGTCAACACAGGTATAGTCACAACATATTCTGAGTCAACCCCCAAAATTCTGAATTTTCAAACAACTGTTGGTCTAGGGATTTGAAAATCAGAGATTTTCAACACAAATTCAGGGGGAAAAATAAAAGTGAGTGAAAAATAAAGACATTACCTTCCAGTGTATTTCTGAAGCTGAAATTGGCAGCTTTGTCCATGGAGCCAGATTCATATTGCGTCAAACTCAAGCAAAATTCCACATCTGCTGAGGAGGGGAGCCTTGGAGTCCTAGCTTTGTCATGGCTTCCAGGGTTTCGCAGTAAAGGTCCCTCAGGTGTTCCATCACATAAAGCCTGACGGCTGTTGTATTCCTCCAGTCGGCTACAGATAATCTGTACAAAATATTTTATGTTAAACGAAAAATGATCACTACCTGTGAGACAATGGGAAAAGGCAGTAAGGTTGGTAGTCATCATTACCATCTTCAGATTTCTTAATATCAGGAGGTTAATATTTTAAAAGAAACTGTTAAAGAAGCAAATCAACTGAAACTTGCCAAATAAGTTATGGAATTTAATACCTAGAATGGGGTTCCAGGTTTTCATCCAACACTTAAGAAATTGAATTAAATTTTCTTGGACCCATGTATCAAACAGTGATAAAAATAACTCCTTCATATAAATATTTGATGAGAAAATTAATTCAAGTATTTGTTAATCATCTGTTCTATGTTAAGCACTGTGTCTGGTTCCAAGGCTGGGGTTGATAAATAATAAAGGCAGCAACTTCTCTTTAGATAAAGTCCATAACACATGGCATGGTCTATAGTAAACACTCAGTAAATAGACATTGATATTAATTCATATTGCATTCAGAATGTCAAGGATTTAGAATAGTTCCACTTTGTGATTTTCTGTCATAAAATGTCCTATTGTTGATGCTAATTCTTTATATATTCAAAAAATATTCCTCATAGATTACTTTTTAAAGCATAGCAATTTCCCTGATTCCTTAATTTACCTAGTACTAATGTGACTTTTGGAAAATCATCAATTTAAAAATGATAACTCCTCAAATTTGCATATGAAAAAAATTTTACACTATGATATATGCATCACTTCATTTAAATCACAAAGCCATTCTTTCCACCTTACCAAACAAGGAAACTGGCTACAGATCTGACATGTCTTCAATTTACATAAAATATGGTTAGAGTCTGGTCAAACCATCAAGGGAAGAGAAAAGTAACTTTACATACTGCCCTTTTAAAAATAAACTATTCTCTTCAGGTAGAGAATGCTTTTGTAAGGGGAAAATTTTGTTTAAAAATTATATTAACTGTTATTTAGCAACACTAAATCACAAATACTGGAATCAGTGTTTTAATTGCGTGTCAGAATAGGACTGTCTTCTTTCTACATATACCAGAACTTCTCTAGTTAGTATGAATGGGTTTTCTAACCTAATCATCATCAGTGTAACTCCATGAGAAGCAAGTGATATTAATCAGTTAGGATGTTGTTTGTCCTTGCTGAAGAGTGCCAAATTTGGGACACACAGAGCCCTAGCAACCTGCATATGAACTTGATAGTCAAGGCGCAACAGTATGGAATGAAACTTGGTAATTTAAATATAAGAAACATTTACAAGATTAAGATTGGTCCTTCTTGAGGAGAAAGGAAGAAAAAGAGGAAAACTAAAGGATGACTTTGTCATACTCATGGGTGGCAGAGTCAGTACTGAGAATACGTATCTGAAGTCATGGGAAAGAAAATGTGGTCAATTCTATGAATTTCAACTGTGACAGCTAAAAATAAAATCAGGTATGTTTTGGGCACAAAATAAGGCAGCAAACTCCAACCAGAATAAAAGTCAAAATCCTAATGTGGTACCCCAAGTTCTTCCCTCATTTAGCCATGTTTACCTCCCTGCAGACTGTATCTCAAAATAGAGGCACATTGGAAGTTAGGGCTTCATTACATGAACTTGAAGTTGTGCAACTTGATGGGTAGCACTGGGATAGAGGCCCCTATGTTAATTAACCACTTGTCCATCACTCTATGGGACTGTCAGCCCTGGGAGAAAGTCCACTACTTCACCCGGTACCAACATTTGGGTGGTGGTGGGGCAGCCAGTCCTAACCCTCCTTCTGCTTGAAGCAAATCCCTTATCAGGAATGGAGAATGAAAATGGACTTCCTTCCAGTTGCTCTAAGCAGAAGGTGGTGAGGGCAGATTATCGTGGGGTTTGTACCAGAGGATAGAGAATGGTAACCAGAACTCATTGCAGGAAAGCAAAGAAGCTGTCACAGAGGTTGCAGGAATAGTCACACAAAAGCTAAGGCTCTAAGTCCTTAGTATACTATGTCTTCTTTTTTCCAATTCTGAGTATTGAACAAAGAGCCTTAGCACTAAGTTGCAAGCTCAGTCATTTTATATTTTTTATTTCAACATGTGATCTTGCTGAGTTGCCCAGGCTGGGCTCCAACTTGTGAAACTCTTCCCTCAGCCTCTCAGAGTGCTGTCATTTTAAAATATAAATCCACAAATAAAATTATCAAACTATCAAGTCCCAAATCACAGTTTATTTACTTTCTAATATGGAGTCCACTTCTAAGCATAGAGTGCTGTGCATGTGCTGTAGTTGTCCAAGAAGCTGGCCCTGGTCCTGAACATGGACTGTGGACCTTTCTTTGTCTTTATTTTCTATGTTTCAGCTACATTAAGCAATTGCATGGCTGATAGGCCACGTACATTGATAAGAATGCTCAAATTCGTGCCTCCAGTGCAAAACTACTCCTTTGTACTCAATACATATTCAGAGTAGATATTTACATATATCATAAAATATATATATATCAATATGTGACTTAATATTTCAACATTGTCTTATATGTATCTCAAATATAACATTTAAAATGAAAAACTCGCTCTATTTCCTTCCATACCAACCATTCTGCAGTTTAGTCAGAAATTTATGAATCACCATGTGCAAGCTAGAAATCAGTGAATTTTATTTTATGTTCTATTCTGCTTTGTCTTTAACCTTGGACTCATCAGCCAATGTTATCCATTCTTCCTCCAAAACATCATGAATCTGGCCACCATTCTCCACTTACTTACATCCTGTGTGGTTCTACTGCTGAAGTCAGACTGCCTGCTGTTCCTTGGGCACTGCTTGTGTTTCTCCATTCCATGACTCTGCTTGTCACTAAGCCTGCTCACTCCTTAGCGTGTGTCAATATGCTATTTATTCTTTAAGGCCAAGATAAATAATTTGTGAAAACAGACATTGTTGTCTCTGAATGTAAAAGAGCATTAGGAATACATAAAATTATTTTTCTTATACAGGTTGATCATTTGTAATTTGAAAATACAAAATATAAAATGCTCCAAAATCCAAAATTTTTTCAGTGCTAGCATGACCCTGCAAATAGAAAATTCCGTACCTGACCTCATGTGACAGTCATGTGACAGACTCATGTGCCATCAAAACATAAGTGCACTCAAAGTGTGTAGTTATGTTGCAATATTGTGAAGGTAATTTTATTTACCTTCAAGCTATATGTATAAGATATATATGAAACATAAATGAATTTTTTATTTAGACTTGGATCTCACTTTCAAACTATTTCTTTACATATATGCAAATATTTCAAAATTCAAAAAATCCAAAGTCTGAAACATTTCTTGTGTGAAGCATTTCAGGTAAGGGATATTCAATCTGTAGTTTCATTTATATGTAGGTAGACTCTAGAATACTGCCCAGCACTGTATATAGGCTCAATAAGTATTTATTGCCTGAATCAATAAAATCAGTAAATGAACAAATAACTACTCAACAACAAGCATGTATTGAGCATCAATGTTCCTACTTCCATTTTTGGTACCAATCTTGCCTTAAATACCCATTTTCTTAAAAATATATTAAATTCTTTCTCTGCCCAGGCCATAAAATACATCCCTATATACATTTATAAAAACTGAAATTCACAACATTGTGGATTTCTATTGTATTATCCCTATTTTAATTGATGAAGAGACAACCTGAATATGGAAGGGTACATTAGGCAAGTAGTATGTGTAGTTCTGTGTGGTTAATAATTAATTTATGGACAACAAACAATAATATTTTAAAAATGAAAAGCCTTCCTGATGAACTGTGTGAATAATATTTGAAAATAATTGTGACAATCCTACTGGTATCCCACCCCAGTGAGTTTGTAACTCATATGCATGCAAAAGAAAATTAAATTATCAGCAAAAAGAATTAAACAAGGGATGTCTTATACCATGTTAGAGACTGGCAGAGATGTTGCTTTTAACTTGGTCACTGAGGAACAATTTATGAATTGAAGCACTGTATAGTAGAAAAGAATAAGGCTCCAGATTCAGTTAGAGGCCAACTTCAGTTCTGGCTCATCTGCTATCAATGTGGCAATGAACATGTTTTTTAGGTGTGCCAAGTCTCAATCTTCTCAATTGTACAGTGATATATATTACATGAAAAAAAACTTTTCAAAAAATAGTTCTTGGCTTAGTGAATATCAGTGTCTGGATTTTCTCATACATTGTGAAATTCCTTAATCTTATTATCCATATATAATTGAGTAGCTCATCTTAATGATATAGGGCACCAAGTAATCCAACTAAGGGAAATAATCCAAATAATTTAAGTGAAATATTATAACTCCCCAACCTGGTAGATATCTAAAACACAAGTTCCTGTTCTCTAAAATCAAAGAATGACTTCTAGGAACAACGGAGGTTAAGAATAGGAAGAATTTATTGAGAGAAAGATAGCTTCTGTCTAAGAGAGACACAAGGAGGACCAGAAAGTGAGTTGCCAGCCCACCACGTTTCTCAAAAATGTTTTATTGAGCCAAAGGTGAGGCAGGTAAAAAGTGGGATAAAACTACATTCAACTAATAAGATTCCAAGTATTGTTGCTTAGGTAATATTGATCCAACAGGAAATCACGAGGTAGAACAAAACTATGATCAACCAATAAGATTACAACAAGTCTAGTCATTTAGGTAATATTAATTAAATGGGGATCAAATGGGGAAGCTAGTCACATAGCAAGAAGAACATAGATTTCCTCAGAAGGAATAGCTAGAGAGGTTTTGGTCCCCAATTAAGGTGATTGATGTCTATTTAGAATACCAGTCATTGCTACTCACCCCTAGAGGAAGTATAGGGGTGTAGTTCTTTCTTTTTGAATACTGACTTTTCAGTAACTGTATCACAATTGTTTTCTCTGCTGAGGACCCGGTTTTGTCTAACTGCCTTACAATATTTTTTAACCAGTATAGCTGTCTACAGTATTAATAATATGTGATATTTAGAGTCAGAACCCCAGAGCACTAAAACATAGTCTTCCAGATTCCAAAGGTAAAGGCACTACATTTGTTTCTGCCTGTTAATGGCTTAGGAATGATTGAATAAAGCTAACTTGACTTCTCACTGAATCTGATATGTTGGATACCTTTATAATTTTCATTAAATAGACACCACAGCAGGTACATATACAAATCATTTTCATTCATCTTTGAATAATAAAGCCCAGCATATTTTCGAAAGATTCTTCTGCCTAGATGACAACTGTAGTAGACTTGGTTCAATTAGAGAGACTGAATGGAATTATTTTTTGCTGAAATGGGTGGAGACATTAGTAACAAGGAAGAAATCTGCCTTGGTTCCAGAAATAATTTGGAAAACTTAACACTAAATTATTGTCTGTTCTACAGAACGGTAGGCAGGATAGGAGAAATCATTAGCATAGTGACTATCACCATAGAAATTGCATTTAGAAAGTTATGGTTTCTAATTCTGATTCTATTAGCTACATGACCTCAAGCAATTTACTTAAACTCTCTGTTAAGTTTTTCATCTATTAGTGGGGATCATAGCAAACTTTTATCAAGGATAAAATAATGTAACCTATAAAACACATGGCAGAGTGCCTGTTCTAGAATATTTAATAATGAGAATTGTTGGGCTGGGGATTTAGCTCAGTGGTGCTGCACCTGCCTCCCCAAAACAAGGTCCTGGATTCAATCCCTGGTACCAAAAAAGAAAAAAAAAAGAAAATTGGTATGATTATTTTGAATATAAGACCATTGATTAGGCATCAAATTATTTTTAATTATACATCTATAACACAGTTTGAATATTCATCATTGTAATTACTAACTTTGGTATATTATTTTATAGTATATTATCATATTACCTTCCATATGTGGAACTCAATGTGTCAGATACTAAACAAGTCATTTTACACCAATAGATTTCATTAAAACACCTTATAGTATATATATTAAACTACATTATTCTGTTTTTAGAGACAAGAATACCTCAGAAGAAAAAAATCAAAACAAAGCTTTTGTAAATGGGGAGGGGAGGAGAGATTGAAGGGTAGGGAGGACAATGGGGAAAAAATTAGGATATGTCACGTACAGATACAAATTTCCTTTCATGAATGTGATCAATATATATGACAAACATAAGCTAATAAAAAATAAAGTTAATAAAACCTCAGAATAATTAGGGCCTTGTAACTTGGTAAATTATAAAAGTCTACTCATATTCATGTGTTTGTATAGACCCAAAATAATATACCTCTTCTACAATGTTATATTATTTTTCATTCCATTTAGTCTTCTTATTAACACAGAAAACAAGTGTAAGTGATCATCACACACTATTTTATTCTGTTGCAAAAATCCAAAATTCAAAAATTTTAAATTACATGTCTCATATTCTTGGGTAAACGGCAGAAGTAGAATCTGAGTGCAGGTCTACTGATGACAATTTTGCTCTTTCACTATTTTAACACAAGTGATTTATGACACATGCTTGGATGGAGAATCTAATGTCCTAAGTCAAAAGAATAAAAGAGACAGATGTTATTAATCAGGAATACTAGTTAGATAGTGTTTCTTTAAATTTTAAGAAATAGCAATAAACTATCAGTTATTAGCAGCTTTCAGGAGAAGGATTATATTATGGAATTAGAGATTTATCTGAAAAAAATGTAAACCGTATGACATTCCACAAAGTCTTTTTCATAAAGAAAAAAGAAGAGCTGTTATTTCACTAAGCTGTTGCCATGGTTACCCAAAACCCATGACTCTCTGCTGAAATGTGCCGTTTTTCCTTCCCACTGTTCACTTCCATGTGATGTGCCTTCCACCTGAGGAGCAAATTCCTTAGCCATAGTCACTCATGTCTGTCATGCAGGAAATGTTTTTTTCTCTTTATTTTGATTTACCATGACAAGTTTCCCTGATACATCTTTTCTTTTTCTTTTTTTAGCTAGCTTATCTACTGGTTGCATAACATTATATTAAGCATCATAGGCAGGTTTTAATTACATGTTATTAAGCAAGCCCCTTTCTCCAAAAATAATGGAGTTTTCTAATTAATGTCAAGCATGCTTCTACTTTAAAAGCTTCTGACGTTATACAAATGATTAAACAATTGGACCAAAAAGACATGAATCATAAATATAAGCTTTCTAAGAAAATTAACATTAATGTTCAATTTTAAAATGTACTACTTTGTTTTGTAAAAATCCTGCTAGGTAAATGTTATCAATCTAATTTTCATAACACTCAAATGTGTTGTGATCTGTACTGTGATCTCTTTCAAGAGAGCACATTCATATAGGTGACCAGAAAGAACTAGATAAAATTTCTTAACCCAGACTTTGAGTAGTGGTTGATTATTGACATTGCTGTGTTTTTGGCATTAAAGTTCCAGTGCTACAAAATGTGATCTAAGATCCTAGAAGCCATCCATGCAGATTTTAATTTTTTAATCTATATTAGCATTGGAGTGAACATTTCTCAATTTTGTCCACTTCAAATGCATTAATAAAGACTAGTACATGTATATATCATTGTCCTGAATTCTGAGTTTACAAAATATTTACAAATGGTCTCTATCTTGGAGCTTCTGACAGTCTGGTGGAGGCACAAATTTGAAAATCATTACATGTACTAAAGAGTTATAGGTGATTCAATGTAAATCTTTACAAAGCCTAATAATGGCACAAGGGGAAAGGGAGAATTCTACCTGTGTAATGGAGGTAGGTCATTAAAAGCCTAATAGAATATTTTCATTATAACATAAGTACAGAATACATCACTGTTTGTCCTCATGTTATATGAATCACATGAATTTTAAGGGAGTTAAACCTGTCAAATTATATATCCATGAATTAGTAATTTATTAACTCATTCTGACCCTAAACAGCATAATTTGATTGATGTAAATAGCAAGAGTCACTGCCACCTGGTTTTCATCCTCAGATATGTGACCTTGGAAAAAATCATCTTATCATTTTAGGCCTTTCTGTCTTTTTTGTAAAATGTAGGCCCTACACTGGGTATCACTGAAGGTTCTTGGCTCATAGTTAATTAATGACATAAAAACTCTGAAAGCTCCATTTATGAGTCACATGAGTAGATACTGAAAGGCAACCAAAAATGGAGGCTTTGTATCAAAGCAGTCCTCAGTCTAGCTAATTGGGAAGGTATTAATGAACTAATTTATCCAAGAAGCAGTTTGATCTCATCTCACACAAAATGGTTTAGTTCTTAATTTGAGCATTCAATTTAGGTAAAGGCTTTCAAATTAATGGTGTGTTTACTACAGAAACTGTGTTTTTATTAAGTGCAAGTAAAGAGAGACCTAAACAATTTCCATATTAATTACATCAGGGATACTCAGTGCTAGATGCACATTAGAATCACATGAGGAGGTTTTAAGGATACAGACAAGCACACTTCATAGCAGACTACCAGAAGTTACATTTGTGAATTCCATGAAATTATTTTTGAATATATTTTATAAGCTTCCTGATTTTGATGCTGAGAACTACTGAGTAAAAGCAATATGAACAACCAATTTTAATTTCGGAAGGACTCTAACCAGAGAGGTGAATAAATGGAAATAGCTAACATGAGTTGGATTTCACTGCTATATCTGCTATTGATTATTCCTTGATACCACACATAGTAGGTAGATAGCAAATGTTCCTTGATGTAGTCTTTTTTATTTAAACTATTATTTGTTTCTTTTTCTTCAAAGGACTTTCTCCACCTTGTTTCCTTATTTTACCTATAAAACCTATTCTCATACAGCACTTTAATCACACAACAAATTTGAAGTTAATATTGTAACAATTTCAGTTTAGTGCTTACCTATTAGTCCCAATAAGTTTTCTTTAGAAAATAATAAAATTGACCATGTTCACAAAGAGGAAAAAATGGAAAAAAATAGCTCAGTAATAAATAGATGATTAGGAAAAACCCAAATACAATATCTTCTGGTAATATGCACCTTATGTAATAAAATATCAATTCATTATCTCTCTACTAAGCTTCAGTGTGTATGTGGTACTTTATTTGTTTATTTGTTTTTTATAATTTAGATAATCCTTCAGCTTTTTGGGTCAAGTGAAGCTATTAGTTAAAAAAAAAGCATTGTAACTGACTGAAAATTCCACTTCCAAGCTCCTTCCAAAGGAGGTGGATATTGGGCAAATAATCCCACAGTTATCTATTTAATTACAATTATGAAGTGTTCTGTAAAAGATAAATACAAGGCACATTAGAGGATCTCAACGGGAAACCTTTTCTACACAGGGTAGAGGAATGCCAGAGGAATTTTATGAAAATCTGCCTGAAGAAGTGATTGCTAAAGTTCCTGTCTTTTCTTACACTGTACATCCGGCACATCTTACCTGCCAAGAGGAGAAGAATGATGCTGGGCTGAGAAGGTTAGGGTTTGTAGAGTGGCGACCTCCCATGTACTCGTCTGTGCAAATGTCACAGTTTTCTGCATCCCGCCAGTCCCAGTATGGAATAGTGAAGTTCTCATCACCCGTAAGCTTCCGGATTTCTTCTTCCCACAGTAGCAAGAAGAGTCTATGCCAAGGCAGGAAACCTGGTGCTTCATGGGCAAAATCAATATCTCTCCAGATTTCAGATCCTCCGAGCAGAGTATCCCTTGACACATAGTAATGCATCCAGACAAAGAGGTCATAAATATTGACATCATTAAACATGGGGGTTGATCCATTCTCCATTTGGCCATATGTGCCTGTGGGAATGACATAGTCTGCACTGATGGTATGCTTCGCTAAAGTGAGGTAGGCAAGGAATTTATCCTTCTCTGGGACACTCAAATCGAAGATGTTTCTTCTCACCAAGATTCGTTTCTCTGTGCAATTTGGTCCCCAATATCCAAACTTGCAATTTCCACAGCTGAATCCCATGAAGTTGCCAGAGCATTGGCAGGTTCTATTATAAAAGACAGAAGGCCAAGACTCCCTGTCATCCACCCCTGTGAAGGGGAATTGAGGCCCAAATGGTGCATTGGACAGAAGGATGTCCTGACAAGAACCTCTGCCTGAAAGCTGGCCACAGGGACTCCTGTCCCCACTCCATGGTGGACAGCATTCCTTCTCTATCAGGTTCTGAAATGAGGTACAGGCTCGAGGGAAATGGCTGGTGGAGGTCTGGAAATTCCACAGCAGGCAGAACAAAACAAACAGGAGCATTTTTCCTCCAGTGCTTACAAGATCTACTTAACCTGCTTAATTGGAGCCACTGGCTTCTTTTTTCAGCAACCCCTGTAGTGACTATCACATGTCTTGGATAAGACCTATATAATACCATTCTCTCCCCTAACATCAGATATCCTGTCTATCTTAAGCTTTCATCTTGTGGAAAGCACATGACTAACTTCTTTGGCATTGGCATGCATCCCAAAGTGGGATTGGCTTGTGCTAAAGTGAGAAACACTGAACCATTAACAGTTTAATTCTCACAGTTACTATAATACTAATGTTTAATAGTAATAATGCTTGATCTAAGCAACTCAGTTCATTAAATAGGAAATTAATGATAATTTAAATTTGGAAATTAATATAGGTCATTTTGATAGCTTGGTGATCTGCTTCATTTTGGGAACTTGTCCACTAAACTTTAAAAAAGAGCTCTCTCTCTCTCTCTCTCTCTCTCTCTCTCTCTCTCTATCTCTATCTCTCTCTCTCTCTCCCTCTCCCAAGATGTAGTTACATTGTTTCACCCAGAAATATTAGAATCATGAAATTATTTGATATTTTACAATATTATTCTTGCAAAAGAATTCTCAATTTAGTGAGTGAACAAATAAAGAGTAAACATTTTTTTGATTATCTCAATTTTTCTAGGAGTTATTTTTCTGTATATAGCAAGCTAAAAATTGAAATACATGGCAAAAATATGCTATTCATGTTTCTTTTAAATTGAATAGTTTAAATAAACATCAAACGTTTAATAGAAAGATTGTTTTTGTGAACTGAGGCTACTGGAATGGATTGCATAGTTTTAGCCAATAGCATGTAGGTGTTATTAAAGGAGCATTCCTTCAGAACAACCTCAAAGAATGGGTTTAAGTTGGATAGACAAAGAAGAATGGAGAGAATCCTTGAGGTGGGGAAACTGTACAGATGGGAACTTCATTCATCTGCTGTGTTGGATAATTATATTCAGATGGTTCCCCAATATTATAGGTAACTAAATCTGAGAGAAATTCAAAGACTTACTAAATGACTTGAATTCAGGTGAGTCCTTTTGTGACCTGTAGTGATAAAATGAGAGAAGTCAAGCACAGTGGCCCCTCTGAGGCTTTCTTCCTTATTTTGCTCCACAGTTAAAACTAGGTGGCCCTCCCAATTTAAAGAAGAAATGAAAGAAAGTAAAAGTTTGAGGAAAACATAAATTTTCTGATCCTGAGCAGAGGGTTTCTAAGGAAAGGCACTACTTTCTTCGTGATGCTGGAATGTCAGCCTGCTTGTTTTCTTCTCTTCTTGCTAGAATTCTTTTCATTATAGAAAAATGTTGAGGCTTCTCCATAGGACTCTCTTGAGGCTCAAGGCAGCCTTTGCTGGTGGATACAGCAGTGTATGTGTGGGTGCAGAGAAAGAGAAGAGGAGTTTCCATGGAAATGTTGGTTCTGGCAGGGATCAGGAAGTCATCATATGATCTCCTCCAGGAGGCTTACTCTTATTTCTCTGCTTCTTTCAGAGCCAAAAAAGAGATTAAGAGAGGGCTTCTTGAAATCCCGAATCAGCCTGCTGTAGACAGGCAGGTCTGCGCACCCACTACCGAGGTCCCAAGTCTTGCGGAACACACCGAATCAGACCGCTGCAGGCAGGCAGGTCTTCAGACATCCTACCGCGGTCACAAGTCATGCAGAACATGCCAAATTAGCCCACACCCCGGCAACAATCCACTGGAACCCCCCAACCCGGCTCCTCTGTACAGCCACCTGCTTCCACACTACAAAGACGCAGAGAACACCAGACCATGCTACTGAGTCACGCTGCTCCTGGCCCAGAGGTAGGGGCTTTTGAGCCACTGTCCCACTGTTCCTGGTCCAGAGGAAGTGGCTTCCCGGCCACCATCCCTCCCACTGATCTCAGCCCAGAGGAAAGGGCTTTTGGGCCACCTTCTGTCCCACTGCTCCTGGCTCAGAGGAAGGGGCTTCCAGGCCACCATCCCTCCCACCATTCCTGGCACAGAGGTAGGGGCTTCTGAGCCACCATCCCAATGCTCCTGGACCAGAGGAAGGGGCTTCCTGGCCACCATCCCTCCTGCTGCTCCCAGCCCACAGGAAAGGGCTTTTGGGCCACCATCCCTACCACTGATCCCGGCCCCTGTCCCACCTAACCCAGCTCAGAGGAGGTAATCCGTGCAGGCTCTAACAGCCCCCCACCACAGGCAAAATGAGAAAACACATAAATAAGTCTCAAAACCAGACTTCCAGATCACCTACAGCAACCCCAAAGGGAAATGAGATGGAACACTTGATACTCAACCACCTGGACCCACTGAACTGGCAACAAAAGGGGATCTGGAAAAAATGAAATCAGAAATAATTTCTCAG